ATCATCCTTAGCCACGAATGTTGTCTAAGCGCCACTGCCGACGTCATGGTCTTTGAGGAGGCCTCCAGGACATGCTTGGTCGTCGACAACTGCTGTTTAGCGACCACCATGCCGTCTTTCTGGAGCAGTTTTGCAACATACAGCTTGTCCTCAGGGAGACGCACGAAGAGTTAGGACATCTGTTCCCACAGGGTGTACTGGTATTGGCCCATGCAGGCGAGATAATTTGATTGAGGACATATCAAGTTGGACGATATCATATAGGGAATCCGTATATTGAGGATCCTTTTGAACAATTGACAAACCCAACGCGTGGGCCATTCGTTTTATGAGGTCGGTGTAAGACGACAAGGTATCTGATGGAGATATAGGAAGGTTTTGGAACTGGCGGGATGTCCGTGCCTGCCCTTCTGGGCATGCTCACTGGGGCTCCTGAGCATGCTCAGTTGGGCCAGGCACGAAAATCCTTTTAAGAGAGCTTGCTAGGCACCGGCAGATCCAGCGCAGGCGCACTAGATCCCATTGGTGTGAAGCACAGAGACCACGAAGAAGATCAAACTAACTTATGCAGTAGCCAAACTGCTTGCTCACAACTTTAATGCCAATAGCTCACAAAGTAGAATTTTTGCTCACAAGACTCCACAGCTTAGAGGGAACATTGGTCCAGGGTTTGACCTTTTTGATATCTTGGGCCTGTCATGACTTCAGAGAGGTCCACGGCAGTCAAAGAGGCTACATTACAATGTCCTGGACCAGTTCTCCTAATGAACCCACAGCATGAATATTTAAGTCCCCTAGAACAATCAGTCTAAGTTGTCTCCAGCACCTTGCCCCCCCCCAACACACATTCATAGTGCTTACTGTAACTCTGTAATTAACAGATAATGATCCTAGGGTGCGTTCAGACGGGCAGCTAATACCTCAATTGGCCTGGCTCTAATTTGATCCCGATCTTTTTTATCCCGCATTGCGCGACCAGACAGCTCCCCTTACCACGTGCGTACTCCACAGTGGATAGTCTAGATAGCATCCACCTAAAGGAGCTGCGTGGTTAGTTTTTTTTTAATTGTTTGCACATGCACATCCATGCCTCAATGTGTACTTGTTTTTCCGCGCATGCGCGAAGTTGAATGGTTAAAGCACTGCCAGTGGTACCTCTCTCTAGGTACCTTTTTAATTAATGCAGTTCATAAAATTCACAGGCCATTTAGAAACATGAAATTGTCCGGAATATTTAAGTGGAGCTCTGCGGCTGTCGTATGTTTACACGTTTATGCGCATATTGCTAAGAATTTTTTAAAATGGCACCTGCTCGGGATGGTCTGACGTCAGACCATTCCAATGGGAGGATTGCGCACTGGAACGATCAGACGGGGAAAAGTCTGCAATTGGCCTGTCGGGAAGCGAAAACTCCAGACTTTAACTAGTATCTTTTAAGTACGGCTCCGAAGCATGGCAAAACGGGATGATCACGGAAGAGGCACATTTCTCAGATGTTGCTGTCTGGTCATTACCTTTAAATCCACCAGGTACTCGTGCCTGGCGCGGATCTAAAGACCCGTCTGATCGGGACCCTAGAGTTTTAGAATTTTTCCTTTAAAAGTTTGATCACAATCAAACCAATATTAACAGTACCATCCTAAGCAGAATTACATCTTTCAAAGCCTGTTGACTTTAACAGAAGGATGTCGCTCTGTTTAGGATGGCATTGTAAGTACTAGAAAGTCCTATTGATTTCTCAGGGATAAATGGCTAAGCACATTAACAACTGAATAATTAGATCACACATTTATTTACACGGAAGAGCTTTCTGATGATGTGATATGGAACATGATTTTGATCATCCAAATACATTCAGTCAAATCAATTTAAGTTCATTATTCAGTTTTTCTGCAGTGTGGCAGGAAAAGGTCAATCATCTGTGTGCAAGAGGTGCGAGGAGAGTGGATAAACAGGTCCCAAGAAAGGCATTCTGAGGACTCAGGTAGGTGAAAGTAATATTAATTCATAAAATGCATGGTACTGGGAGAGTTAAGTTTATGTATACCACTGACACCTGGACCAAAAAAATACACCTTTGAGGTTTCAGAGAACTAAGATCCTCTCCTTAGTAATAATTTGCCCTTGAAAAACACCAAAAACATACATTTTACCAGTTGCCTACAATAATTACCTTTCTTTGTCATTCTCATTTCGCATTCGCTTCAAGTGTCCTTCTGCTTTCTGCACACTTCTGCTATGATGCTCAGCTTTTGCACAGAGGTAACTGATTTGACCCTTACTTTTACTTGAGGCAACTGAATAAAAAAGATGACAATGTATACATTTTCACACTATGATAATGGTATGGTAATTTCACAAGCAGGCCTCTACAGTGACTTAGATACTGAATGAATAATTGTGGAATAAAACTTCTACAAATCCTGTCGAGGTGAGGTGGCTCATTGGTTAGAGTGTTGGAACAGAAGAGGGAGACCTGGGTTAAAATCCTCATCCACTCATAGAGTTCACTGGGTCAATATGGGTCAGTTACTGTTTCTGAGACCATTTCTGCGGTAGTGAAATTCCCCACATTGACATTTTAAAAATTGCATGTTTTCCACAGTAGATTTTTCCTCACCAGGCGCAAACCTGAAGTTTTCTCCTTCTTACCCTGCATTTTCATAATCCCCAGTTTTACCAAGATCCAAAAATTTGGGGTAAGAAGGAGAAAACTTCGGGTTTGCGCCTGGTGAGGAAAAATCTACTGCGGAAAATTTCACATAATGCACCGTTTTAAAAATATCAATATGGGGAATTTCACTACTGCAGAAATGTTCTCAGCTTAGCCAACATCATGGTACTATTGTGAGGTTAACATGCATGAGGGGACAACACTATACTCTGCCCTAATGTGATAGGGATAAAATTGTGATAGGTAATTCAAAAGCAGCACATAACTTCAGAGTGGTCAAATCAAATATTTATATTCCATCTCAATCTGCGTAACGTGTGCTAAAATGTCATTAAATACAGCTCCCTGCCATTTTGCTCCAGGTGAAAAAGGGGAGCAAGCAGGTAGTCATGGGGTAGTTGCACCATATGTGAACTCCTGCCTGCAGGATCCTGTGTTGCAGCCCCTAGCCCTTACCTCCTTCAGTAAGCTGTATGGTTATGGGAAAGGCTAAGGAGGTGTAGCCAGCCAAGGGAAATGGAGGTGAGACCACTTCTCTGTGGCCTGTACTGGTGAGTATATAGGCATTGGTTTGGGGAACATTTTACAGGGCTATGCAGGGGTGGGCTCTCTGCATGATCCTAAAAAGGGAGTTACCTTAAGGAGCTCTGGGGGGTAAGCTATATGGCAGCCACCTTCATAGTTGGCATAGAGGCTGGTGCACAAGGAACTGCAGCTTCCACTGCTTCTCTTCTTAATACCAGCTCTCCGTCTTTGCTTATCCTGAACAAGTGAATTGAGGAGCTCACTGCCACAGTTGGGCTCTCAGCAGCACCCATTATTTCCCAACAGTGCCTCATTGAACTGCACCCATGCCAAGACCTGTGGAGTCTGTAATCAATAAAGCTGGTACCCGATTTTCCCCATTCTGGCATAGTCCTCTTCTCCCTTGCCTTCTGACCTGTCCCCACTCTGGGCACAACACTGTTCTTCCACAGATACTAAAACTACAGTTTGTTAGTAGCAAAGCTACTGAAAGAGGGAGGGAGAAAGGAAGACGTGAGGGGGGAAATGAATTATTTACCAGTCTAATTATATGTGATACAGAAAAGAACTTATACTGACAGAGACAAGATACAACAGGAGACTGAGCTGAGCCCTCAGGTGGAAAATGACTCTTGCAATGCAGACATGTCAAACATGGATTATTTCGGCAGTGTAATGACACCACAGTAATGTTTTCCATAAGAATACTAGATGTGGCTTCCCAACAAATCTGATGAGGCAGGACACTGAATAGCTTTCAGTTATAGTCCTTGACATTATGATGACTGAATAAGTTTTAATTTGATCCTGATCCTCAAGCAACCTGCCAAGCAATGACAGTACAAGAATATAAACAGTTTTAACTTTAAAAATAGATCGGATTTTAGCATGGCGTCATGGAGCTGATAGTCAGCCAGCCAGCCCCTAAAAGTATGAGGAATAATAATTTTATGTGAAAATGCCTGTTGATGGACGATATTTGGCAGGTACATTGCTCTCCTTGAATAGGCCTCCCCAAACATTCCCACAAGAAATCAGAGTTGCAGAGGGTCATCAAAAACTATGTTTTTCAGCTGTTTCCCATAATACAGTCTGAAAATATCTATTAATGAGACAATCAAGGTTTTCCACAGGAGTATACAATTTGGCTTGCATACTCTATCTAGTAAGGAGGACAATCTGGCTTCTCCAAAATGGAGACAGGAGGAGGAATTAACCCCCCCCACACACACAGATCAGTTTATAATTGTATGTTAAAATAATTTTCACACTTGGTATAACAATCTGCTCCAAGTTGTAAGAAACAAAAGCAAAGAAACCCTCACATGTGAACAGGATTGGACTCAGCAGATAAGATCTGCTTTGCATGCTTTCCCTGTATGCTCTCATACAAAAGATCAGGAACATGGGCTGAACTGGGCAGTTAATGAAAACTACACATGGCTGCCTCCTCCAGCAACCCAATGTTATTCATGTAGTTGCCTGCTCTCTCAATTGCATTCTGCTCTTAGAACATATAGCCCATTTATTATTTCATTTCTTGTTGATTAAAATGGGCACTATGAAACTCATAAATTTAAGAATACACAGGGGATTTTCACAAAACACATATTCTTGAATTTTTTAATTGACTCCCAAATGAAATAATTCTTCAGTTGGGCAAAAAAATGGTCAGAATATGGTCAGTGACTTGTCATTATAATTAATAGACCTTGTTGCCTCCTCCAATTCCCCCCCCCAAAGTACATCCTTGAGCACAGTGTGACCGTAGTCAGACAAAGGACTGGGCTGTTTCTAGGTCTAAAAATGTCAAGAAAAAGAATTTATGGGATAGATTCACTGGTTTCAATTACATTAATTCAGCTAAATAGTTTCAGAATATTGTCATATTGATATGCTATTGATTTGAAACTACTCAACAGTGATTCAGTGCCTTCAAGAGCATACAAACTGAATGTGTTTTTTTTAAAAGGAATTCAAGCAGGTCAAAATAGGTTAGTGACCAATCCAAACAGTTGGTTCAATATAGCAGTTAGTAACTATGTCATTTAAAAGCAGCTAATTATTTGACAAGGCAATGACTGTTTTGCTACGTGAAGTGGGAATTTACATTTAAAGCAACATTATTGCCAGTTTTAAGAACCCACGTTTTAGTAGCAAATAGTACTCATCTCTAATTTATACACAAAGTCTATTAAATGTTAACTGAAAAGCTTTTCATTTCCCAAGTGGTGGTTATCAGGGACCAAACTTTGCCCTGGAATGAACTAAAACTAATTTAAGTGTAACATTTGAAAACAACTTTCATACAACACTAAAGAGTGGCAGGTGCCGGTCTTAAGGTATTATCACATCTGAAGAGAAAAACCAGACTTGCGCCTTCCCCTTCCCAATTTGAACTGGAACCGGTTGTATTCTAATGACACCCAGAGGAGGAGACTGTAAGCAGAAAAACAGAACTTCTGGAATCTGCCACATTAAGTAGACTGTTTCATGCTGTTTCATAAAAAGATAATGAAACATGCTACGAAGATCATGACACTAGTATCACCAGGGTCTTTCTTCCAAGGAGCTCACTTCAATGCACATAGTTCGTTTCCTCCTTTACCCTCGCAACAAACTTAAGAAGTAGGGCCCCTGCCACACGGGGGTGGGGAAGCACGGGCAAAGCCGCACCAAAAGAGACACGCGGTGGCGGGATCACATAGATCCCCTGAACCGCGTCCTCCCTGGCACGATCAGATGCCGGGGGGGAAGCCACTGAAGGCAGAGCGCAGCAGCCAAACTGCGCATGTGTGCGCATGCGTAGTTCGGCTGGGAGCCTGGATTGCTCTGGACGACGGGCGTGCCGGCGATCCCATGGCCGCGCTTGATGCGGCGTTCCTGGTAAGTCCTCCTCTGTAGGGGGTTCTTTTTTGCAGCGGGTTTTCCGGCTTTAGGGACGGATCGGGGACGAGTGCGCGCCGCTTCCCAGATGTTGCGGTGAGATTGCGCCTGTTTGTTGCACCCCCGATTCGTCCCTCTCCCAGGCCAAAACCTTCTGTGTGACCGGGACCTAGGCTAAGCTAAGAGAGAGTTGGGTTAACCCAGGTTCACCCATGAGGCAGAAAGACCCTGAGTATTTGTAGTCCATGTCTAATATTACATACTGAATCACTCCCTTGGTCTATCAAAGTCAGTACTGTCTACTCAGACCAGCAGTGGTTGTCTAGGGTCTCAGGGTGAGGTTTTTCACATCACCTCCTACCTGATCTTTTTAATTGGAGGTTCTGGGGATTGAACCTGGGACCTTCTGCATGCCAAACAGATGCTCTGCCAGTGAGCCACAGCCCCTCCACACTTACTCATGCCAGTGAAGATAATATTAATTTAGAAAATTTATATGCCACTTCTCAAAAGGACCTGCTCCAGGTAGTGAATAACATTCATATTACTCATGTTTCCATGATTTTTAGATCCTTTTCCTGCTTGTTATGACTTACTACAAGGATGAAGGAATTATTTAGTTCATTCACAGAAGCAGAGGCTGCCATTTTGAGCTCAGAGCAGTGTGAGTTAACTAGTAGCATTCAAAATTATAGCTTCGGCTTATGAGGTTATAAGCCAGTAGAAAAGCTCACAACGATGCTGGCAGAGCAGATCTCTCTCCACCTTCCCCCAGCATTCTGCCTTTTGCCCCCAAAATCCCCCCTGAGTGTCAAGGGAACCTTGTGAACAAATTAATGTGGGCTCTAGTGAGGAGGATGGATTAGATGAAATCATCCCACTCCTCCATCGATTAGCAGCTTGCAGGGGTGGGAGGAAGACACAATTTCAACCAATTGCCCCCTCTTCACTGCAGCCCCATATACTGCAGTACATTTGGTTTAATGAGGATCCTCAAAACCAGGAGGCTGCTCAGAGAAGGGAATGCAAGGAAAGGTCTGCTCTACCAGGACCTTTCATGAGCTTTTCTCCTAAATCCAACCCATGAAGTTAGATAACCTGTTTGCCACAAGCAAGGAGCTGCCATGTGTGCCAGAATAAAACACATGTTATGGTGGAAGATTAATAAGCAAGGGCCTCCTGCCATATACAATGTTTATTCAAATATATCCTACTCCTCTAGGTGCTTTAGTTGACTACTGAAATCAAATATTTTTCTAGGCTCAGCACAAGGCAAGAAGCTCCTCAGTTTTGCTGCCACTGAAAATATGTATTACCTTTAGCTTCGTTTTCACTATCCAGGACAATTTGAAATGCTTCAGGAGCCAGTGCGAGGCCTGCATTCACCAACAAAGACCTTTTTTTCCTCACACTATCTTTTGGTGTACCTTTCTTCGCCTATACAAATGGAAAAATAAACTATTACACGGTGGCAACTTAAGTGGCATTTAATAGCTTTTAATTATATAAAATATGTGGTTGGAAACCCTTCCAACAAATCCTAAAGGTTTTTCACAACAAGATTAAAATGTTAAAAACTAACTTCATTGGAAACAATTCAAACATCAAATTGAGCCGGCCTTGCTGGGAAGGCAGGGTAAAAATCTAATGAAATAAACAAACAAATAAATAAATAATTGTAATCAAGTTACAGTAAATTTATATCACAGACTATGAACAAGATGAATAAAAGCGGCATACATGCTAAGATTTCAGAATATCCCTGAAGAGAAGGATGAAGATCTTGCAGAGAAAATGGCTAATATACTAGCTGAACATATGAACATAGAAAAGGATGATATGTTAAAAGAATTTGACCAAGTATGTAGAATGAACTCAGCATATGCAAGACGAATGAAGGTACCAAGAGAGATACAAGTTCATTTCCACAAAAGAATGGCAAGGGACAAAATATTGAGAGAAGTTAACGCGAAAGCACTCAAATTTCAAGAGATGGAAGTAAAAGTGTTAAAGGAGATCCCATGGAGAGTGAGAGAGAAGAGAAGGAATTATTCCAAACTGACATGGTTATTAAAGAAAAATGGGATACAATACAGATGGCTCCTTCCAGAAGGCCTGGCTTTTTCCATGCAAGAGAAAAAGTATTGGATTACATCAATATTTAAAGCAGAAGACTTCCTCAAAAAATATGGAGAAGAACTGGGACTGGAAGAAGAAGAAGAAGA